GCTTCTATAGGTCACTTTAGGTAGCATAGAAATGTTAACAATATTGATTCTGCCAATCCATGAGCATGGTGGGGTTTTCCATGTGATTAGATCCTCTGCAGTTTCTTTTCTCAGTGTTTCATAGTTCTCCCTCTATAGGTCTCTCACCTCCCTAGTTAAATATATTCTTAAATATTTAATTTTCTTTGATGCTATTGTGAAAGGTGTTGTGTCTTTTATTTGAATTTTGTCTTGACTGTTATTGGTATATATGAAAGCTACTGATTTGTGTGCATTGATTTTTTATCATGAGACTTTGCTAAATTCATTATCAATTCCAGGAGTCTCTTGGCAAGATCTTCAGAGTTTTCTAGATATAATATCATATCATCAGTGAAGAGTGAAAATTTGACCTCTTCTGCTGCCCTTTGGATACCCTTCATTCCCCCATCTTGTTTGATTGCTCTGGCAAGGATTTCCAGCACTATGTTGAATAGAAGTGGAAATAGTGGGCAACCTTGTCTGCTCCCAAGTCTAAGTGGGAATGCTTGAGCTCTTGGCATGTACCAAGCCCTAAATTAAGCATGTTAGTTAGATTATCTCTTTTAATGGATACTATGATAAAGTTAATATTTATTTCTTCATTTTAAAGATAAGAAAACTAAATCTTACAGAGTTTTAATAACTTGCCCCAGAAAATGTAGTTGGTGAATTATAAAACTTGGTTTTACATAACCATTTCCTGACACCAAAGATTAGATTTTTAACTACTACACTATTCTACATCCTCCTGATGGCAAATGATCAGACCAGACACTGATCACAGTGTTATTTTGAACCATTAGATTTTTTCTAACTGTTAAAAACACTTTCAAATGATAGAATGAGTTGGCCAATTATGTCAAGGGTGATCCTCTGGAAATTCTTACCCAGGCGTTGCCTCGTCTTGGGTGAAGAATGTTGTAGGGAGGAGAATTGATTCCTGCATGTGGATGAAGCATGGATTTCAAAATCCCCTTTAAAATCTTATCTTCAAGTCTATGATTCTGACTGTTCTGCTGTCACTTCTTCCAACTATCTCCTAGAAACTTTCTCTTAGATAGGTTAGTGAAATTGGCACCTTGCTCCTTCACCTATTTTCATTCTCTGTACATAGTGTATCAATGAAATTTGAAAAGACTACACCTCAGGCATATTTTATCATTTAATATTAAAAATAATAATACCTATCATTCAATGATTCAATGCTCAGTATGTCTAGATATTGTGCTAAGGACCTTATAAACATTGATTCACTTAATCCTGATATCAACCTTGAGAACTTGGACCATTATCATCTTATTCTAGATAAAAAATCCTGACTGTAGTTGTCTTAGTCTACTCAAGCTCCCATAACAAAATACCAAAGATTGGGTGACTTTATCAATAGAAGTTTATTTTTTCATAGTTCTAGAGGCTGGAAAGTTCTAGATCAAGGTCTAACAGAGTTGAGTTTCTGGCGAAGGCTCTTTTCCTGGCTTATAGGTAGCTGCCTTCTCTCTGTGTCCTCATTTGGTGGTTAGATATTTCTCTGTCTCTCCCTCTTTCCCCCCTCTCCTTGTCTCCTCCTCTCCCCCTCCCTCTCCCTCTTGCTGTAAGGTCACCAATCCTATTGGAATAGGACTCCACCCTTTTGATTTCATTTAATCTTAATTAATTCCTATAAGTCCTATCTCCAAATACAGTCACAATTCAGTCCATAGTAGTGATGAGCAATGGTTAGCTTGGCTTTAATGGCAAGATGATGCTATTGATGTTATTGAGACCCAAAGAATGTTTGGCCCGGGAGAAGAGAATCTTTCTACTACTTTCCGGACACCCATCCCTTTGCTTTCCATGAAGAGGGTGGATAGATCACCTGTTGGACAATAAGCCTGGCTCCGTCTCAGCCTTTGACAGGAAAAGTCAACTCTGTTGTTGCTTTTCAAACAGCAAGAAGAATTAATGGGGTTTTTTTGGATTTAAAGAAACCTGATCCTTTTTAAAAAATATTTAAATTTTTTTTTTATTTCAGCATAGTACGGAGATACAAATGTTTAGATTACATATATTGCCTTTGCCCCACCTGAGTCAAAGCAGAGCTTCAAGTGTGTCCATCCCCCAGATGGTGCACACTGAACCCATTAGGTGTGAATATACCCATCCTCTTCTCCCCCTCCCACCTACCAAACACTTGATGAACGTTACTACTATATATGTGTACTTAGGTGTTGGTCAATTAAATCAGTTAATACCAATTTGATGGTGAGTATATATGGTGCTTGTTTTTCCATTCTTGTGAGACTTCACTTAGTAGACTGGGCTCCAGCTCTATCCAGGATAGATACAAGAGGATACAAGAGGTACTAGATCACTATTGTTTTCTGTGGCTGAGTAGAACTCCATGATATACATATACCACATTTTATTAATCCAATAATGTATTGATGGGCACTTAGGTTTCCACATCTTTGCAATTGCGAATTATGATGCTATAAACGTTCTAGTGCAGATGTCTTTTTTATAGAATGTCTTCTGTTCCTTTGGGTAGATGCCCAGTAATGGAATTGCTGGGTCAAATGGTAGTTCTACTTGTAGCTTTTTGAGGTATCTCCATATTACTTTCTGTAGAGGTTGTACTAGTTTGCAGTCTCACCAGCAGTGTATGAGTGTTTCTATCTCTCCACATCCATGCCAACATTTATTGTTTTGGGACTTTATGATACAGGCCATTCTCACTGGAGCTAGGTGATATCTCATTGTGGTTTTTATTTCCATTTCCCTGACAATTAGAGATGTTGAGCATTTTTTCATATGTTGTTGACCATTAGTCTATCTTCTTTTCAAAAGTTTTTGTTCATATCCTGTGCCCACTTTTTGATAGGATTGTTTGATTTTTTTCTTGTTGATTTTCTTAAGTTCTATATAGATTCTAGTTATCAGCCCTATAGTGGATGTATAGCAAGTGAATATTTTCTCCCATCTGTAGGTTGCCTTTTTGCTCTAATGATAGTTTCCTTGGATCTGCAGAAGCTTTTAAATTTGATCAGGTCCCATTTATTTATTTGTTTGCTGTGATTACCTATGTGGTCTTCTTCGTAAATTCTTTCCCTAGGCCAATGTCTATGAGAGTTTTTCCAACATTTTCTTCTAGAATTCTTATAGTTTCATGCCTTAGGTTTAAGTCTGTTATCCGCCATGAGTTGATTTTTGTGAGAGGTGATAGGTACAGATCCTGTTTCAGTTCTCTACATGTGGCTATCCAATTTTCCCAGCACCATTTATTGAATAACGATTCTTTTCACCAGTGTATATTTTTGTCTGCTTTTTCAAAGATTAGATGGCTACATGAGGATGATTTTATATCTGGATTCTCAGTTCTGTTCCATTGGTCTGTATCTCTGTTCTTGTGCAAATACCACATTGTTTTAGTTACTATAGCCTTATAGCATAGCTTGAAGTCTGGTAAATTGATGCCTCCCAATTTGTTCTTTTTGCTTAAGATTGATTTTGCTATATGAGGTCTTCTCTGGTTCCATACGAAGTATAGAATTATTATTTCTAGGGATTGTATTGAATCTGTAGATCACTTTGAGTAGCACAGACATTTTAACAATGTTGATTCTGCCAACCCATGAGCATGGTATGGTTTTCCACCTGTTTATGTCCTCTCCTATTTCCTTCCTCAATGTTTTGTAATTTTCCCTGTAGAGGTCTTTTACTTCCTTAATTATATTCCTAGCTATTTTATTTTCTTTGTTGCTATTGTGAAGGGTATTGAGTCTTTGACTTGGTTCTCAGTTTGACTTGAAAAGGTGGAGGAAATGGACAAATTATTAGAAACACACAGCCTCCCTAGTCTCTATCAGGAAGAAATAGAATTCCTGAACTGACAAATATCAAGCACTGAAATTGAAGCAGCAATAAAAAACTTTCCTAAAAGAAAAAAGTCCCAGACCAGATGGTTTCATACCTAACTTTTACCAGTCCTACAAAGAAGAATTGGTGCCTATTCTACAGAAATTTTCCACAACATCGAGAAGGAAGGAATCCTCCCAATGCATTTTATGAAGCCAACATCACCCTGATACCAAAACCAGGAAAGGACACAACAAAAAAAGAAAACTACAGACCAATATCCCTTATGAATATAGATGCAAAAATTCTCAATAAAATCCTATCAAACTGAATTCAGGTACTTATCAAAAAATAATCCATCATGACCAAGTGGGCTTCATTCCAGAGATGCAGGGATGGTTCGACATTTATAGATGGTTCAACAAATCTATAAATGTAATTCACCACATAAATAGAAGCAAAAACAAAGACCATATTATCCCCTTGATAGACTCAGAAAAAGCATTCAACAAAATTCAGCAGCCTTTTATGATAAGAACACTTAACAAAATAGGCATAGATGGGACTTGCCTAAAAATTATAGAAACCATATCTGACAAACCCACAGCCAATGTCATACTGAATGGGGAAAAATTGAAAGAATTCCCACTTAGATCTAGAACCAGACAAGATTTCCCTCTGTTACCACTTCTATTCAACATAGTACTGGAAGTCCTAGCCAGAGCAATCAGACAAGAGAAGGAAATCAAGGGCATCAAATGGGGGCACAAGAGGTCAAACTATCACTCTTTGCTGACAATATGACCTTATATCTAGAAAATGACAAAGATTCTGCCATGAGACCACTGGAATTGATAAACAAATTCAGCAAAGTCTCAGGTTACAAAATCAATGTACAGACATCAGTAGCATTCCTATACTCCAACAACAGAAACCTGATCCTTTGTGGGGTGAATCTTTTATTATCTTGATAAAGGACCTCCTTTGGTTATCTTTGGGAGAAAAATAGTATCCGTAGTGTCTCTCTACTTGTTCTTGGATCAGAGATGGCTTTAGTATCAAAACTTTATTTTTTTCTCCTTTCTGTCTGCAAAACTAACCCTGTTCTTCAGAAATTTTTGATGCCTGCTTCACTTCTTTTCTAGGAAGCTAAAGAAACTATTTCGGAAGCTGAAAGATGAGACAGAACCTGGAGAAACAGACTCTGCCCATTCAAAACATCCAGAGCAGTGGGACCTAGACTACAGCTTGGAACCATACACTGGACTGACTCCAGAATACATGGAAATGAGTAAGAACCCATGATCTTTACCCTGGTGGTGGGTGCAGACAAGGTGCCTGTGGGGAGGTGGGGCAGGGAGAACACTGGGAAAAAGACTAGGGCTCCTTTGTGAGCTTCATGGCTACTCAATGTCCCCTTCTGTACCACACGAAAATTGAGAAAAGTGGAGCAGAAGGAGCCCTGGAATGAGAACCATGGGTAGCTCTGTCACCAATTTGATGGATGATGTCCTCTTCTCCTTGGGTTTCCTCTTTTCGTCAGTTTGGTCTCCCACGTCTTTTCCCATGGTTTCTATCATTGACAAAGGTGAAAGGGAAATGGTGAAATATGAAATTTAAGAATAGTTTCCATGAAAGAAGAGTAAAGTAGTCCTATGACCGTTGAGTCAAGGATATATACATCTTTCACCTGGAGAATATAGGTGACTCCCCCACTCTGATCAGGTAGGGCTGGATAAGATGTCAGCTTTTCAGCAAAAAAGTTGGAGATGTTTTGTATAGAGGGTGAGAGGCAGATTTCTAGTTGCAGAGCCTCTGATTCTTTTGAGTAAGGCTTGAAGGCAGGAATGCATATCAGTACAGGCTGATAGAACACAGTCATTTCAGAAGTTCCTTAGAAGTCTGAGTTTCCATTATAAGAAGTATCTTAGACTAGCTGCCTTTGAATTCTTGGCTACTTGAGAATAATCCTGACTTCTATTGGGATGGATGGTTGAGAAGCCTCTTTCCTAGACTTGGAACTAATGAATTAAAACCATGGGATACCAGAGATCAAGAGCCCAGATATAGCCTCTAAACATTTACTTAAGATACAGATCTTTGAGAAACATCAATCAAATTAAATATCAAGTGAAAGAATCACTTGATATTTAATTCAATACTTAATATCATCATACCCATCATTGTGTTTACATAATGGCTCCTGCTCCCTTTGGTTAGTCACTTTTAATAGGGGGGTATCAATGCCTTTCTGTGCACCTGGTCCTTCACTCATTATTTCTAATGGATATTTATCCTATTTTGTTATAAGAATTTGTGTATGCATGTTAGGGGTGGAAGAATGGGCAGGGTCTAGATTAGACGGCCATGAAAATTCTGTTCTAGCCTTGGGGTGTCTAAAATTCTAGGCAAAGCCAGAGCTTTGTAATCTAAATCAATTCACCTTAGGAGAAGCAAACATTATGTCTGCTTTAGGAACAATAGGGAAAGAAAAAACTGAGACACAGTTTATGGAAGCACACAGCTCACTTATGCTTTTCATGTTGAGCTAAGTGCTACTTCTAATCCCTAACACTGAACCAGATATTTACACAGAGGTGATCACTCATATTTCAGATACCATTCTACATCTGCCATTCTCTCATTCAGAAAGAGAGAAATTGCTGCCAGGGATTGAGGCTTCCTTTTGGGCAGGGGCTTACATTAGGAATCTGTGAGCTCTGTCTCTCTACCTATACCCTCCAACCACAGTGCCCCCCACCACTGGGTTTTACATGCCTGCCAACCTATCTGTCCAGCTAGCTGGCTCTTTCAAAGCTCCCTCTTTTGAGTGACTAAGAGCAGAGACTCTTGAGCCATACTCCTTGGGTTCAAATCCCAGCTCTGTGACTGACTAACTGGATAACCTTGGATAAGAAGCTAATCTTTATGTGTCTTGATTTGCTTTGCTATAAAAAAAAGACAATAACACCTACCTCATGGAATTCTTGTGAGCAATTAATGAATTGATATCTCTGAAGTGCTTACAAGAGTATCTAGCACACAAAAGCACATATTAAGTGTCAAGTATTGTTTCTCTTAATGGTCCTGAGGCCGGAGGAAGGCAGAGTATGGAGAAATATGCTCTACTTTATTAGCCACTGTGTCATTGAATATAACATCCACTATGTGTTTAAACTTGAGAACTTACAAAGTAATGAGAAGAGGAAAAAAATAAAGAACTAGAAGACTTGATGATCTCTGCAATATAAAAAACAAAACCAAACACAAATGAAAAACCTAACTACTTACAATGAATAAAATAACGATATACCAGAAAGTTTGAAAACAGAGAAAAGATGGGAATCTGCCTTCTAGAACTTCTCTCATTCAAGTTCTACTTTCTTTATCATTTTGGTGCTATTTCTTAGACCCTTTTCTATGTATATGAATTTAAAAATAAAGTCGTGATCATGTTTCTCTTTTTTGTTTTTTTAATTGATGCATAATAGTTTTACCTATTTATGGGTTATATGTCATATTTTGTTACTTCATAGACTGATGATCAAGTCAGTTTATTTGGGGTGTCTGTCACCTGTAGTACTTATCATTTCTATGTGTTGAGAACATTTCAAGTCCTCTCTTCTAGCTATTTTGAAACATACAATATGTTATTGGTAACTATAGTCACCCTATACTGCTATTGAACAGTAAAACATATTCCTCCTATCTAACTATATGTTTCTGACCAGTAACCAACCTCTCTTCACCCCCACCCACACACACATACCCTTCCCAGGCTCCATTATCTGTCATTCTACCCTCTACCTCCATGGGAGCAACTTTTTCAGCTCCAACATACATGTGAGAACATGTGATATTTGTCTTTCCATGCCTGACTTATTTTACTTAATATAATGACCTCCAGTTCCATCCATCTTGCTGAAAATGACATGATTTCATTATTTTTTGTGGCCAAATAGTATTCCATTATGTATAGGTATCACATTTTCTTCATTCATTCATCCATTGGTGGACACTTAGGTTGATTTCATACCTTTGCTATTGTGACTAGTGCTTTAATAAACATGCAAGTGAAAGTATTCCTCTGATATATATATATTTCTTTTCCTTTGGATAAATACCAAGTAGTGGAATTGCTGGATCACATGGTAGTTCTGTTTGTAGTTTTTTGAGAAATATCTGTACTGTTATCCATAATGGCTGTAGTAATTTACATTCCCACCAACAGTATATAGGAGTTCCTTTTTCTCTGTATCCTCACCAGCATTTGTTATTTTTTGTCTTTTTGATAATTGCCATTCTAACTGGGGTAAGATGATATCTCTCTGTGGTTTTGGTTTACATTTTCCTGATGATTAGTAATGTTGAGCATTTTTTTCATATAACTGTTGGCAATTTGTTTGTCGTCTTTTGAGAAATGTTATTTGTGTCCTTTGCCCGCCTTTTAATGGAATTGTTTTTATTTAATGCTGAGTTGTTTGGGTTCCTTACACATTCAGAATATTAGTCCCTTGTCAGATGAATAGTTTGAGAATATCTACTCTCATTCAACAGGTTATCTCTTCTCTCTGTTGATTGTTTCATTTGCCGTGTAGAAGTCTTTTAGTTTAATATAGTCTCATTTGTCTATTTTTGTTTTTGTTCCCTGTACTTTTGAGGCCTCACCCATAAAATCTTTGACTAGATGAAAGTCCAGAAGAGTTTTTCCTAGGTTTTCTTCTAGTATGTTTATAGTTTCAGGTCTTACATTAAAGTGTTTAATTCATCCATCTTGAGTTGATTTTTATCTGTGGTGAGAGACATGGGTCCATTCTTCTGCATATGGATATCCAATTTTCCTAGCTCCATTTATTGAACAGGGTGTCCTTTCCTTAATGTATATTCCTAATGCTTCTGTCAAAATTGAGTTGGGTGTAAATATGTGGCTTTATTTCTGGGTTCTCTACTCCGTTCCATTGGTCTATGTGTCTGTTTTTATACCAATATCATGCTCGTTTGGTTTCTATAGCCTTGTAATATATTTTGAAGTCAAGTAGTGTGATGCCTCCAGCTTTGCCCTTTTTGCTGAGAATTACTTTGGTTATTTATTCTGGCTTTTTGGTTCCATATGACTTTTAGGATTTTTTTCTATTTCTATGAAAAGTGACATTGGTATTTTGATTGGGATTGCATTGAATCTTCAGATTACTTTGGGCAGGATGGTCATTTTAACAATATTAATTCTTGTGATCCATGAGCATAGGATGTTATTCCATTTTTTTGTGTCCTCTTCAATTTCTTTCATCAGAAGAAAGTTTTATAGTTTCTTCATCAGTTTTATAGTTTTCCTTGCAGAGGTCTTTCATTTCCTTGGTTAAGTTAATCCCTACGTTTTGTTTTTTTTTGTTTGTTTGTTTGTTTTTTGTAGCTATTGTAAATGGGATTGCCTTCTTGATTTCTTTCTCAGCTAGTTTATCATTGGTGTATAAAAACACTACTGATTTTTGTATGTTGATTTTGTATCCTATAACTTCACTGAATTTATCAGATCTAGGAGATTTTTGGTGGAGTATTTAGATTTTTCTAAATTAGATAAGATTATATATATATATATATGATCTTATAAATATAAGATCATTATCTTCAGCAAGGATGGACAATTTGACTTTCTCTTTCCCAATTTGGATGTCTCTGATTTCCTTCTCCTGCCTGATTGCTTTGGCTAGGACTTCTAGTACTATGTTGAATAGGAGTGGTGAAAGTGGGTATACTTGTCTTATTCCAATTCTTAGAGGCTTTCAGCTTTTCCCCATTCAGTATGATATTAGCTTTGATTTATCATGTATAACCTTTATTAAGCTGAAGTATGTTTCTTATATTCCTAATTTGTCGAGAGTTTTTATCATGAAGGGTTGTTGAATTTTATCAATGCTGTTTCTGTGTATATTGAGATGATCATATGGTTTTTGTCCTTTGTTCTGTTAATTTGATATATCACATTTATTGATTTGTTTATGTGGAACTATCCTTACATCCCTGGGATAAATCCTATTTGATTATGGCATATAATCCTTTTGATGTGCTGTTGGATTCAGTTTGCTAGTATTTTGTTGAGGATTTCCGTGTCTAAGTTCATCAGGTATATTGGTATATACCTAAGTTCATCAGGTATATTGTTTTCTTTTTTTGTTGCATCCTTGTATGGTTTTGATATCAGGGTAAGGCTGGCCTCGTAGAATGAGGAATAATTGCCTCCTCTTCAACATTTTGGAATAGTTTGAAGAGAATTGATGTTAATTCTTTTTTGAA